TTCAGAAGCCAAGGATCACATCTTCTGTAATCCATTAGACTCCTATGGCATTTTTTCCTAATTTTAGCCATAAAAAATTCCAATCTCATTTTCCAGTTTTGAGGAAAATAAGCATTTACTGTAGGCAATCTAAATAAAAAATGAAGGAGCATTGGTTTATGTAAACAAATTAGCCCTCTTGACAACCTTGGAACAAGCAATTCTACAGTTACACACCTCTTAGTGTTCAAGTTGCAATTAAGCAAAATCCATACACTGACGGATATCTGAGCCTCATTATTCATTCAGAATTTTGAAATTCTTGTTCTTTCTGTATATACTAAAATCTAATTGGCCAAATGTAGAAAAATGCAGGTTAGGTGGTGATGGCTAACTTTTTTGTGATAAATCATCTTTTAGAGCCTGGGATGATTCTCAACTTACTTAAATCTGTCCAATATTTTTTGCATTAGGTATCATTTTAGTGTTGAAACCTCCCTTATGCAGCTGAGCCTCAAAAGGAGAACTGAGTTGAAAAACATAAGGTTTGGACCTGAAATGTCCATATCTAGTTATGAACACACTTTTTTACAGGATGTATTACAGCTGAGGGACTGTACAGACAGAAGGGATGATGTGCCAGCTTTGTCCTGTACGAATGAAGTTTCCTTAAGCTTTAGCTCATGACTACATTGAAATTTAAATTTTGAGCAAGAAAATGAGTGAGTAAGTATTTTGAAAGAACAGAGCGAAAGCAATGGTTATATGATGTTGAAATACGCAGCCTGCAATAGTTTTCTTTCTTGATAGGTTTTCTTCTCAGAAAATTATTGGTTTTGTTTTGATACAGTCTGCTGAATGTGGCAGCTGTTTCCGTTTCAGCCCAATTATTCTCATCAACCAAAACCAAAACAGTAAATTTTGCAAAATAAAATATTCTGGACATTCTGGTGGTATTTTCCAAACTCATTCTGTTTATACAACATATTCAAACGGTCACATGATCTTTAAAGTCATACAGTCTTGTATTATGATTGTTGAAGATTAATAAAAAAATAGCCCTCTAAAAACAAGTCACAAAGAACAACTGAGAAAAATTCTATGATTTTGAAAAGAACAAGTTCAGGTATACTTTGCATGAAATATTCTGGTTCTTCTCTGCTTATTTCTTGCCCAGCTGCCCCTGTTACTTTCAGTAATTTCTGAGTTTATCTTAAAAGTCAGAGGGTAATTCATGTTCCTGGAACAATGATCAATCTTCTGTCAACAAAACAGCGACCATACATGTGATAAGCTGAACTCTTTTGTGGGAAAGATGGGAAGGGACACATTCTGTTTCTCTCCAGGTCCATGGGTCTGAGCTCAGAGCAATTCCATGCCTGTGTCTCTCAGCTGGAGGAGAAGGTTTTGAGGTCACAATTTGGCTAGAGAACAACAATTTGACCAATACTCCCCAGCCTCAAAAGCAAATCCTGGAGAAACACTTTGAGTGGTTTATGAAATAATGAGAAGAATGAAAGAGATAAATAAGGAATAGTTCTGTGCTGCCTTGCGCTAGAGGTCATTGAATGAAACTAGCAAATGCCAGTAACAAACTACACAAAAGGATTATTTCTTCACACAATACAATGCAATTCAAACTGCCAAGGCCCTGGGCCTTGCCATGGGATGCTCTGAATGCTGTTTGTATAGGTTCCGAATTTTCCCAGAGAACTTGCAAGGAAAATAAACCAAAAAAAATAGCAAAATCACATTTGGAAGACATTAAAACAGAAACACTGCTTGTTGCTTAGGAAATCCCTTAGCTGTAAATTGCTAGAAGCAGTTTTACTCTGGGAGAGTATCAGTTTCTAATTGTCCTGCTCTAGGACTCCTGTTGAGGAATCTGCAGTTGGTTACTGGTCAAACCAGAATTTGAGTCTAGCAGGGCCTTTAGTCTGATCCAGTATAGGGAAAATAATGTTCTTGTCCTAAATAAGTGATGCATACCACGTTTTGCAGCAAACTCCCTGATGCACAGTGGTTCATCAATAAAAGGACAGTGTTAAGTGAAGTAAATTATGCTTCTGACCATGTAACACCTTCGATGAAGGAAAGAATGTGGGAAAAGAGTAGTGACCCAGCTGCCAGACTAATTAATGCAGTGCTTAATAGCAACTGCCTGATACTTCCATAGAACCATCTCTTAAGATAATGCAATTATGTTCCTATGAGCTGGACATAGCACACCCCAAATTTACAAAGATGTTTTGCATAGGAGAGGGACAGTTTTCTTATCTGTGACTTAGATTTCTTTGTTTCTTCATGAAATAAGGCCACACTGAGAATGGTGATCCATGTGTTACTCCTAAATAGCTATAAATATTTATGAATCAGGTGCTCTCCCTTATAAATATCCAGGCATCCAGTATTGATGGCTTATTTAAATTTACAAGTACTACTAATCTCACTGGGCAACTCTAGGACTATATGAAAATACAAATAAATAATGAATAGTTATTATAACATAAAGTAGTCAATATTCTGGATGTCTGTCTGAAGCACAGTAAAAGAATCCCTCTCTTTATTGAGTTGTAACAGCTCAAATCAAAGCCTCATGACAGCAGATTATTTCAGGGAATACAGGGAGGGAAATATGGAGGGAATAAATGAAATTATTTATATGCTGTATGGCATATGTAAATATATAATGTAGTCAGTGTGTATATATGATTGCAGGAATAAAACATGCACTGTGTGCATAGGTTTCTTAGGGCTTCATGTCCATCATGTTAATGGTGATAAGGGCAAGGCCAGAGTATTTAAAATGCTGCTGTTACCTGTGGACTTAGGTAGGAATAGCATATAGTTTAGTTTTGCACAATTAAAGGAATTTTCAGAAATCAAAATATTTAAGAAACAGAATAAAATTGAAGTGCTTTTTCTTAGAGAAAGGAGGAGAGTAATTTTTAATGATGAATTTGTCTTCAGTGCAGATATGAAGCAGTTTGCCTGCAGAGAAGCTAATAGCAAATGAAATCTGTAATGGAAACAGAGAGAAGAGTGGGACACAGACCTCATAGATAAGCACAGTATGTTATTTTTATTCATTCCAAAGTCTGTAATTCAGAAAAGATTTTCATCCTGTTCTTTCAATTTACCAAAACAGACCCATTTCATACCATTTTTCTTTCTGTACAAGTCTAAAGAGCTAATGATGATTTGCCTTATTTGCATTCTTTGTTTCTAGCAAACTCTTTGGTTAAATGGTGTGCAGTTGAGAATATGGAAAGCTGCAATTTTCACAGTAGTGTGACCATGCTCCAAAAAGTAGTTGAGCTGGTAGTAAGCTGCTCACAGGTCTTGTAGCCTTTGTTTTCTGAGTTAGTTAAGAATCCTGTTCCGTTTTTTAACTAATTAACTGAATTTGTAGTTAACTACATTTTGTTTTAAAACTTTTTTCTAATCTGTCTGAGGAGAAGACACTTAACTGACTATTTTTGTTGTTTCAATCATGTCTGCATTTTAATATCAGGTCCATTTCTTTTGATCTTTAGATAAACCTCATGGCTATTTAGTACCAAGTCAGGACAACAGCTGTTTTTTAAGGCAATGAGTTTTGCAAAGTCTGATGTTCCCTTTGGGTTATATATTCTTTTGTCCCATTTTCAAGTTATCTTTTAAACTTCACCTCTGGTTTAGTGTTGCTTAATACCCACATGTACTGTAATCCTGCATGCAGTCAAGCATCAGAAGTGACACAAGGTATCTTCTTTCATTTTCTGTTGCTTCTGATACTCTGTTTAATGCTTTACAATATCACCCATTTGATTAGAGTTCATGTGTTTTTATCTCATTATGGAGACTTGGAAAAACAAGAGCACGTGTAATAATTTACAGCAATGTGCATTTGCTTTTAATTCTTGATTCCTGGGCTATTAAGTGTGAGCATCTGTGTGATTTTATAAACAACTCTTACACACTAAGTGATCATAAATAAACACTGGGATTTTTTTCTGGTGTAAAACATACATTTACAAAAATCTAAATTTCCAAAGTCCTACTAGAATTTCTTAACAATCCTTTTGAAGAAATATTCAAGGAAATTAACATAAATCAAGGAATTATCTAGCAAAGTAGAGTTGTAATTATTTTTCCTGGCTTCTCCAACACAGAACTTCACAAAAGGTTCAGTATAAAATCTAATGCTACCCACGCTGTCAGGAAATAAGTTTTCCCTTAGGTAGCATCCCACATCCCCTAAGAAAACATGTGGTCTAGAACCTACAATCCTTTAAAACCACATCATGTTGCCCTCCATTCATCAAAAGCAGCCTTAATTTAACTGTTTATATTTACAGGATGTATGAGTTTGTAATGTAATCTTATTACTTTGAAACTCTGAATCTTGATTTCTCAAGTAATATCTTTTAGAAGTCTTTCAAGTTGTTTTGTTCTTGCCAAACTGAGCAGCAGCAGTTTCCTTCATGGTATAGGGTGTGGGAGTCCCACTCTCAGTCTGTACAGAGAGCACCTGCACACTGTGCTTTGACATCCTTTGTAGCGGCTCACAGCTGCACAACAACCCCGTCTGACAGCACTGGCTTTACAAAGGCATCAGAAAAAAAAAAAAAAAAAAAAAGGAAATAATTCATTTTTTGCTTTACAGTATTGGAGGGAAAAAGTATCACTTAGGAGCTGTAGATGGTAATGTCTAGTAATGTATTCACTTCCTTTCAGTGAAATTGGGTACAGAATGAACTCTAGCATGACCTGTAGTTGTAGCTCTTTTCTTTGAGGGCTGATCAGACTTCTGAGTGCTGCACTTTTATATTCAGTTCATATTCCAAGTGCTACATTGTAGGGGGACAGAACATAAGTGAATAAAGGTAGCATAGAAAGTAATCTTACCCCCTAAAGAGTGGCAGCTGAGCCAACTATTAGAGATTGGGAACAGGCCTGACTTTACCAGGCCACAGCTGTAGCCAATAAGAAGAGCGTTATAGAAGAGTGGATTGGTTGGTTGGGGGAACTGGAGTCACTTGGCTGCTGTGAGGACAAGGACGAGTCAGGGCCTAGAGGAGATGCCTAGAAGAAACATCAAGGAGGTATGAAACTGTAGCAATATGGAACACTTGTAATGTAATGACAATAGAAGGCTTGCACTATAATGACAGCACTGCATAAGCAGTAGGAAGTGGAAGCAGATTGCAAGAATCCTATTTTAGCGTATGGGGGAAACACGTAGTAAAAGCTACTAGGTTTGCTAAAAGCTGTTGTTGAAACGGCCCTCTGCTCTGACCTGCCTATAGAGAAGCTGCCTACTGCCCTGGATGCTGCCAAATGCTGTGTCAACAGCTCACAAGCCTATATGGAGAATTATTCCTCTCTTTTACTAAAAAAATTGTTCATTTTCCAAGCAAACTCATCTTCAGTTGAGTTTTAATAAAAAAATACTCTCTCACAAAGCTTGCAAAGTCTTGGACACTAGAAGTGGAAAGGGCTTTTTAGGTCAACCAGTTTACACATCTGTCAGTGCATGATCGTGCGCTGCAATTTTTATTTCTCTTTTAATTTTTTAATTTAATTTTAATTAAATTTAATTCTCGGACTACTGCCTTTTTGTACCATGTACAAAGGAAGCAGGATTTATCAGGTCAGTCAAAAATTTGGTAGAGAAAGTCTCTCATTTGCAGATTCAGCATGTCTTGTTCATTTGAGTTACCATAAAGACTTGGAGATTTTGCATATTCTCCTTTCAGACTAAGACCACAACCAGCAATTTTGGCTTAAAATTACATTGGAACTGTAAAAAGGCAACTTTTGAAGCTCGTTCTTCAATTTTTTATCAGATCCATTTGCATCAGAACTTGCATAGTTCTAAGTATGGGAACAGAGTAAAATTGACAATTTGAGTTGTCCAGAAGCACAAACTTTTGTCTCTCTTCTGGTTTTTCATCTTTTTTTTAAATCAGAGCTCTGCCTTTATTGATAACATCCCCAAACTAAATCTTTTCTTGTCTTCCAGAAGTCAAACATTGTTGAGGCTCTGTAGCCCATCTCCCATGCTATCTCACTTCTGATTAAGCTCTTTCCCTCCACAATGCCTCATGTTTCTCAGATTTTAGCTGATTTACAATTAATTTGTTCCTGTCAGTGGAATCTTCGTGAGATTCAGTCCTCCAAGCTAGGTTCCAAAACACCTTTCATCAATGTCACGAAGTACAACGTAGTTAGCCTCAGAAGATCTATCAGAGCTACCATAAAAGTGAGAGTTTGCAATTTTAAATACTTTTGGGCATAAGGTTTCTGGATAACCAAAGAAAAATGTCTCTTCATGGTTGTATGTACATAGTAGATCCAAAATTTCTGCTACTGTGCTCACAAAATTGTAGAGGAAGCACAAATGCTTTGATACATTAACATCTGCGTAGATGTCCAGAGTCGGTTCTTTCTTCTTTCCATCTTTTAAGGCACTTGAAAAGAAACTGCCATTTCAAAATGTAGGAAATGCTGCTAGTCTCTAAATAACTGTTCAGGCTCTCTTTGGAGATTCTTCTTCTTGTTTCAAGACTGAGGATATAAGACCTTAGAAACTGCACTTCTCTAGGTTTTGCTGGTTATCCACCAAATCTATTTCCTAACACAGGGCCACATATTGTGTCCTAATAAAAATTTGTCTTTTATTTCAGGTCTCTTTAACGATTGAAAAAGCCTTGAAAACCAAAAAACAACCCACAAACCAGTATAAATGAAATATTGTATAAAGTTATGGAAGTGAACGTATTTTCTACACGTGGTTAGAAAACACATTAAATGTCTTAAGATGTTTATGCTGAATTATACCTTTTACAAGGAAATAATTGTTTACAACATACATAAACACAGAACTTCCAAAAACTGTTACATTGTCAATTTAATACTCTCCTAATATTAAGTTCCAGTTTACCTTGATTGTTAGGTCTTCATGAGAGCAAGGGAAATGGATTTGACAACAGGAATCAAGAGGTATTCATTTCAAAATACTGTGTTTACCTTGAAAGATGTACCCAGACATCAGGAGACTTAGTTCAAATAATTCCACTGAATCAAATAATTTTGAACTTTGTTCTACTGATATATTGGTTATAATGATAAAAATGTCTTATTTTTATATTTGAGAATGGACATAAATTTAGAACACCAAGTTGAAAATTCTAGTTCTTTTTTTTTTATTGGCTCTGGGGAAAAGACCAAGAGCTCTTCTGGATATGATTGCCTTAGAAAGAATACCCTATAACTGAAAAAATCCCACAAAAAAGCCCACAGTGATCCACTCAGAAGCTGAAATATATGAAGCTTATTTAATAACATGTACTTATTGGTCATTATGGTATCAAAAGTTACTGACAGTTTATATGTTTTCTGGAACTAGAAGTCAACTGTTCATTTTTTCCCAGGCTTTTACACATCTCATTGCTATCTAATCTAATGTCCACAAACCCACTGTAAACACAGACTGATGCAAAGTAAACACTGAAGCCTCAGTATCAGATAAACAGAACATTGAAGATTCAAATTTTTCTCTACATAGGTCTTCCCAACTTAATTTATAGCAAACTTTCCATATGTATCAATTTTCATGGGACTTTATAAACTTTACATGGTTTTTCTTTAGTGAAGTCTACAGTTTACTGACCATACAGAGGCTCTGATCATGCTTTCTGTAGATAGCAATTTGGAAAGTAAAGAAGATGCTGTGTACAATTACAAATATTTATTATTTGTACAGAGGTCAGGAAGAAAATATTTTTCACTTTTCCCAGAAAAAGAATAAAAATGATTTAAGACCAATGTCTTAACTTCTGTGAGAGTTTTTGTATGATATTTGTAAAATTTTTGTGCTTCTCTGCCATTAAGACTTCCACAAAAGAGAGGAGCATTAGTGGGAATTTTTGTAGACATGCAGGAAAAGTTATGTCTCAACATGGCTCCTTTGCTTCATTTTACAGAAGGTAGGGGACAAAAATATTTGTAAAGTGGTTTTTAATGAGCTAGGTGAAGGTACTAGAAGGGTATTTGATAAATAACTCTGAAGAGGAACACAGTGGAATGTTTTGTAAGAAAAGAGATGTTTGGCCAGTTGAGGATTATAGTATTAGTGAAGACCAAAGTAATGAAGTGTGAAACCAAAAACTGAGGAGTTAAGACTAACTTTATGTCCAGATACTACTATGGGTATTTCAGGGGAAGAAAATAGATGTTTAAGCATAGTAAACAAAAAAATAATCATTTCCTATTTTCCAGCAGAGACAGAAACTAATTTTGCAGATGCAATCTAGGGATCTAGCCACCCAGATTTTTTAATTAACTCAGAAAGTTCAGCCAGCAATAGTCTGAAATTTTCTAATTCAAAAAATATCAGGGATATTTTTATTGAAAAGGCTGCGGGAAATTGTGGATTGGTAATATTTTACTTTTTTTTAAATCTGTGGCATTTCTCCTTGAGTTATCTGAATGAAAAATACAAAATAGGACTGTTGAAGATGGATATAAAAGTGCAGGATAATTAAGAGGGCAGAGGTGTAAAGCTCAGTTCAAAATGGAAAAGACAGATGTGGCCAGGACCAAGGATCTGCAATCCAAACATTCCAGGGAAATGAATAACATCGTTTGCAAGCACTCCTCAACACAATTAGTCTTTAGTTTTGTGTATTCCGATCATCGGAGAGGTTTTCAAAGCTGAGGAGACAAAAAAAGTTCCATCTAATGCAATTTCCTAACCTGCTTTCACCTTGGTTTTACTGCTCAGTGACTAATGAATCAACATATTAATTTCAGGTTTTCAAAGAAACTGGGGTCCATTTATTGTAGAACATAAAGGTCTCTCCATGTTACTGCATATGCCTAAGCCTGCAGCACCAAAAATACCACTTTATCCAGGTGAGTTAGAATAATCCCTGAGTTTACACACATTATTTATGCTCCTGTAAAAATTATTAACAAATGTTGAAAAAACTGCACAGCCTAGAAAAGGAATCTCTGGACAGCATGTAATCAATTTCTTTGCCATAATTAAAAAGAAAAAAAAATCAAAGCAGCTTTTAAATAAACACGTGTCCTTCAAGGAGATCACGTGGCAGAAATTTTCTTACAAGGCTGGATTGGTAAAAAGCTGGCAGACAGATCTATACCTCTCTGTTTCTGCTGCAGCAAGGTCTAAAGTGGTTGCTCATTTCGTGGGTGGTTATTTTGCTTTGCAGATTCTCATAGCTGTGACTCTGTCCAGGCCCTGTCCTTCCCAAAGTACACAGAAATTGGGGAAAGGATAGCTAGCAACTGTGAAAATAACTTGGACATCCAAATATGCTTTCCAAGGCAGTCATCTCATGAAACAGGCCAAATCTTGGGAAAGCGAGGGCAGTTTATAATAAAATAAATTATATAAAACCATATTTCTTTCAAGTGTATTAAGTATAAAAATACTCTTAAAGGCAGAAAGGCAATTTACATCTTAAAGAAGTTGGACTTCTAAAAAGATGGTTTGTGTTATTAGGAAAAACAGAGTGAGACTTTGTTTTCAGATATGGAATTATGGGTTCAGACAGATGCAGACTAACATTTTTTTAAAAAATTCTAGTCCGAGATAATATGCTAAAACCATAAAATTATATTAAAAGGCTCACATGATCTGCAGGAAAGTATAACTGTTATTGCCCTGTGAATTAAGAAAATAAGACTTGTCTGAAACTCAAATATGTCATTTTATCATTCTAAAAATCAATGTAATTAAAAATTACTCATGATTTCCAAGGTCCTTTTATTAAGATAATTTTTTAAAGCTCAAAATTTGCAAATCCCAAAGCTTCTGTATGCATTAAGTGGCAAAGGGTAAAGGTGAAGTGCATAAAGTGTTTTTGTTGTGGGGTTATCTCATTCCAGAGTGAATGCTGGAACACAGATGCATCAGTCCTTATATTAACTTATTTCAGGCAGAATACATTTTATTTATTAACGTGCCAAAATGTCTTGACTCCGGTTCAGTTCAATGGGTGGAGGTTGTCATGTGTAAAGAAAATATGCTGTTCTGTTGTTGCTGGCTTTGCCTCATGGGTTTGGAGGCAGCAGACAGGAGCAGAGCTCCTCCAGCACGCTCCCACAGAGGCACTGATGGAGCAGAAAGCTCCAGGAGGGCTGGCAGGGCTGAGGCGTCAGCCTTTCTGCATTTCTGCTCTGTCCTCATGTGATCTGATGTTCCAGTTTTCTCCATTCACAGTGTCCATGGCTCAAATGTCAACCTCTTGCCTGCAAAACTGCCTGGTCTGGTTCCTCCCAAAACCCAAGTCTCTCAGAATCCCAGCATCCCTTTTCCTGGTCACCCCAACAATACCCATCCTACACACCTTGAGAGTTTGCTCCTTGAACAACTGACACTGTAAGTTTTTAGTTACCTATCTAGACAGGTGATTATTTTGGTGGTTTAAGATTAGTTCTGTTCGAAGGGAGACCAAAAACACAGAACTGCCCAGTTAGTAGAGTTTAGATGGTAACCCATGGCAGACAAACATGCTTTCACAGAAATAGAGCTGGCTAAAGATCACTGGTGAAAATATCCAAAATATTTGTAACAATGTGCAAAGGAACAATTTACAACACTTATTTTACAATATCATGTGTGCAGGCCATTTTACAGTACATCTGGCTTGAAAATTGAGGGGTGTGTAAAAACACAAGCATTTCTTACATCTGAAATTAATGCTAAAAGCATGAAACTTGAGTAATTAATTTAAATTTGATGTAATTGTCAAAGCAAAACAAAAAGAGAAATACTGTAAGCTCTTTGAGGAAAAGTTCTGTTTATGCCACAAACCTACTTGCAGTGAAATTGCAGCACACAAAGAAGCACCAATTTAGCTTTCCTTAAATTTTTATTGTGTTAAGTAGTTTACAATAAAATCATTAGTGTGATGACTATGAAACTCAGCAATGTTAAAAGAGCAAGCAGCTTCTAGCTCTTGATTCCCTGAAGATAACTGAGAGCCTGCAGGGTCAGCCAAGTAGTGGAAGCAGAGTGTCCTGCTTGTGCCTTGCTGGCTGGCTCTGGGGCTGCTTTATGGCTCCCTGGGGACAGGGGTGAGGGCTTTGGAGAGCAGGCTCTTCAGCTGCCACAGGGCTGAGTAGCTCCTCTTCAGTCTCATTGCTGGAGTTTTTCCTTTTGTCCAACTGGACTGCAGATGGTCCCAGTGGTCTCAGTTAACTAAATGATGTGTAAGTGGAATGAGAACTAGATCAGCAGCTCTAAGAAACCAGAATGCAGCAGGTAAAATATGGCAGGTAGATTCACCATCCAGGAGCCTTGAGATCTGCAGGTGCTCACAGATTCCTCTTGTTAATAAGACAATATGTATTGGGGTCCTATTTCAACCTCATAGTAGCTGCTCTTTCCAGAAAAATTGGTAGTAATTTTTTAAAAAATCTTTTATTTTGTGCTTATCAAGATCAGATGCATTTGAGTCTGGATTACCAAGGTGATCAAGCCAGCCTAGATATGGTTAGTGTAACTGTTGGGGAATCAAAAGTACTCCAGTGATAAGGAGTGTGGGAAGTGTCTTAGTATTGGCATGATAAAGTTGTGATGTTCCTACAATTCTTAATATATTCAAGTGTCTGACTTACGTGTTAATAACTGAAATTGTTTCCCACACCCATTGTTGAAGTGGTAGAAATAACTCTACAGTGAAAGAATTTCTTTCACTTGCCATTTTTGCCTGACACTTTCACAGAAAGAGAAAATAGAAAGAAAAATTCTTTCTTGTTTATTCTTTCTTTCCACTACTCAGTTCATTAAAAAGACCTTGGTTTGTCTATAAATATGTTTCCTATCTATTTGAACACTTGCATAATGAGCATCCATGTGTTTTGGAATTCTGATTTATTTTAAACAGAATCTTCAAAGTTTCCTTTCTGCTTGAAACATATCAGAATGCCATACTTCAGTATCAGTTCCAGAAAGAGCCAGATGCAGAAATTTCTGGGAAGGAATAATAGTTTTTTTCTCTTTGGAGGTGTCATTAGCTCTGCATGAACAGATTAAAGATTCCTTGCTCATTGTATTCCAAAATAGAAAAGCACTGGGTCCAAAGAAAAAGTAGTGCACATTGTTAGATTGATAACTATAAGTTATTCAAGGTCAAATTCTCTGAATTCTTATGGTTTGAATTATTTTTTACTCTTTGCTTAGCAGAAATTGCAGTCCACCCTTCTTGTGTACTTTCACGGGTACCACATTAAAAGCAGCTTATGAATATTTAAGTATTGCTGCTGACAGTTTTGTAGCTTTTCAAAGATACTGATGAGGTGAATTTTCCTGAAGGTCATTTGTTTGAAAACAATGTTTCAATAAGGGTTTAAAGATGAACTCTGAAAAGACACCTTATCGCAACTTTGAAAAGGTTTTAAAAAAATTAATAAAAAAGACCCCATTCTTCCCCCCACTCCCCCACCCTTATTAGCATATAGGAAATATTTGGTTTAAATATATGTTGTTTTTTTACCTAAATGACATTTTATTCTCAAGTTAATGAAAACATAATATGACCAAAATCCATTGCTGAAATTTTGCATGCTCTATGTTCATCCATCTTTATTAGAAATCTAAGGTAAAATGCACAAATAGACTAAAATGATGGTGCCATTAATTTGCCCTGAACATATATATCTTGTACTAGTGTACTAGTGTTTTCTTTCTATCACAATATCATCTGCACTGAGGGGTAGGGAAACTCGGGCTTTCCCATGACATAATTTGTGAGACTTTATTTTAAATGGAGGTCCTGACACTCAAAACCTTTTTTGTGATAATGTCACATGGCACCAATGTTTTATTTCATACACCGTAAGTGTTGCGAATTCTCACCAAATATATTGTGTAGCTTTCATTCTCTTGATGTTTATTGAGGATGTATGCCCTTGCTCTTGGTTTTGTTGAAGAGCATGATACCTGAGGCAGCCAGGTGTGGCAGGAGGGGATATCTGCTTCAGCAGCAGCTGCTTACACAGAAAGCAGCTCTGACTTTGAGGACAGTGAGATCTATCCCACTCAAAGTTCATAAACCTTTCCATGATCTTCCCCTGTCGTTAATTTCAACAGTGGCATACCACACACAGGCTTTTCACCATTTTACAGCAGGAGGTGATTATTAAATATCACAAACTATATCATATCACAACCTGTTGCAACAAGTGGCAAATTTGGTGATCCTTTTCCCACTAAATTTCAAGGTGCTGCTGTTCCTTCCCACACAGACACAGTAGCCCTGAGTCCCCAGAGCCAGGCACTGCTAGACTCTGCCAGCAAAGGGTGTGTAAGAGGGAACTGCAGGGCTATTCAAAGGAAAGCATCTTTTATCCTCTTTTACAATGTGAAACCAAGTAAATACTCTTGTCAATGCATTTTTCGTACTTAATAACCCACAGGGCTCCTGGTTTGTATCACACCCAGGCTAACCTGCACGCACACACCTGCAGAAGGCTACTGTAAAACTTTATCCTGAGGTTGCCCCAGGCTAAAAACCATTACAGCAGACACTGATGGAAAGCATCATGCATCTTCTGGCTTTTTCTGTCGTTTTCCCTAGAGCAATCTTTGCAAATCAGAAAACAGAAGGAATTGCACTTATTGACAAGAACAGGCATGGGGCAGGAAGCCATTCATCATTTGTACTGATATTTTTCATATCAGTTAATAAAATTTGTAAGTTCATTGATGTATTTTGTACTGCAATGCCCAGTTTATCTTTGAACATGAACCTCAACGGCAGTGCAGTTCTCTGTAGCTTGTGCACAGGCAAGATTTTAGAAATATTAGCCATTATAAGAATATTGATTAAATACATCCTCAGAAATTTGTTCTATGCTGTGCCGTATTTGAAAAATGCTTTTTGTTTTCTTCAGAAGTTCAGCCAAAAGTATAGAAGAGCTGAATCTGGGGATCTGCACTGCCTGAACAGTGGCACAGGACTAAAAAATTTGCAGTGTAATACTGCAGAATGTTTTACTGTTTCATTCCCTGATTGCACAATTCTGTTTTCAAAAGTACCAAGAATTTGATGGGAATTCCAGTTATATTTCTGAGGAATAATGGTAAGTGACATCTGGCTGCTGAATATAGAGTTTGAAGTATCTGACAGTCTCCATAAACTGTAATTCACTAAATGTGGCACTGGATCAGGACCTGTGCTCATGCTTATTCTGCTCATGTATTTATTTTGTATTTTTAGAAAATATTTTCTCATCCTTATGTTGTAGTTTCCTGCTTGATTAACATAAGGATGGCACTTGATAAAGTTGTAGATGGTAAGTGTGAAGTAGCTGGTTATTTGAAATTTCATTGTTCTTGCAGAGGAAGATCTTTCCTTTCTGAGTAGTTAAAATGATCATGGATGATACCTTGGGAGCTGGAAAATTCATGGTATGCAGTGGTTTAGTCCAAAATGGCAAAACATGGAGACGCACCACACAGGAAGGCAGCTTATAGGAAACATAGTACAATAACAACCCTGACCTCCTGACCTCTAGAAATTAGGAAGTGCAATTCTTAAATCAAAACCAGCACCAGAAGTTCTGGGAATGGAAACAGGATTAATTCTCTGGAGTGCAAAGGACCCAAGATGTCTGTAACAGCGGGTCAGACTTTCAGTCCTGTGTATGTGTCTGCTTGTTCCGTGCATTCCCAGGAGCTGTGTGTTCTGGCCTTGGAAATGAGCAGAAGTCAGTGGGGGAGATGCAGGGTGGGTGGCAGGGGACTGGTGCTCTTTCCATTCTGCTGGGATGCAGAGTTGCCCTGGAGAAGAGGGATTTATGTAGTCCTCTCTTCCCACAACCTCTTTGCAATCAAGACTCTGCCTCTCTCCTGTAATGCCAACTGAACTGGTTGAATTCTGCCACTTCTGTAAACATCAGGAGAGAGTCACCCCCACCAGATCTCTAACCTTGCAATAATTACTCATTGGGCATAGTGCCATTCACCAAGATGTTCTTTCTACTGCTCCTTCTGTTTATTTTCTGCATGTGACACTTCTTCTCTGGTGTGGATTCTGGAGCTTGACTGATCTCTGGCAAGAGTTTGGTGGAGTCCTCTTTGAGGACAGGGGTTCAGCTGGTCTGGAAAGGTGGGATGGGATGTGTTTTCATTTAAGGCATGCTCTCAATTCTTTACTCTCAAAATCATACTACAGTATTCTTCTGTAGTCACAATGCTGGCCTAATAGTGTTGTTTTTCATTGTAATTATAGCAGCCTATTCACTCTTGTGCCATTTGAAAAAAAAAAAAAAAGACATTTAATACCATTCAAATAAGGATTTAATTAATTGGAGGAGGCACTTTTCTGCATTTTCCATGTGTATAGAAAATGATGTGCTGAGAAGAGTACGTTCTTTTATTAGGAGTAAGAAGATTTCACACCTCAAAGCTGTTTATTGGAAAAAAGTTATATTGTTCCAATTAAAAAGCATGTTTCTCCTATTATATTTATTTCTATTTTCCATGAGACACAATTTTTATGAAAGGAGATAGAAAACAATCCTTGTTTTCAAGTAACAAAGAGCAAGTAGATGTTCAATGAGGCATAAAAATTTTCTGATTCATAGAAAAGTTTGAATCCAATTTACATAAGGGTTTCAAGCAAAAATTTTAACATAATTATGTTATTACCACTCTTCATGACACAGAGTCTGCAGGAATGAAAATGAACTAATGTTTAGTATTTTCATTTGGTTCTCCAGATGATTCTTCCTAACTATTGAACTTGGCCACCAGAGCTTGCTTGTTACTACTTTGGGAGCAGGGGTGGGTGTGGGGTTGTGATATTTTTTTACTCAGTGTATCTAAGAAAACTTTCCCCCTCTTTCCTGTCATAGCCCAGATACTTCTACTGACATACAGTTGATGTGTTTGATATAGGGTTTTGAGTTCTGTAATATTAAAATAAAACCTGCAAGCCATATAAAGTTTAACCATAAAATCAGTTCAGATCAGTACCATAGCTACATACCTATTTATATTTCTTTAATATCTTCTTTGTATACCATTATAATTGATGTTGTTGGTGTAGACTTTGAGACTCTCGAATACCAGGTGGTGATGTAATGTTCTTAGGACAGGATTCATTTTGGAAGGAAAGGTGTTTGAAAAGCAGAACAGATCAACCCATATATCTAAATTAGGGTCCCGAGTTGTTGCCCCATTCATGACATGAATTCATAATTGACACCAGTTTCCAACAGCAGAGGTATAGTGGGCTCTGATACAGGATACTGGAGTTTACAGCAGAGAAAAGAATGTGAGAAGGTCACAGATCAGAAAAAAATCCTACAGAACACATGCCAAGAGAATCCTTGCAGTCAGCCCTCTGGGCTGTCCACCCACCAGTGTGAGCAGCAGCAGGGCTGGCCCCAGTGTGGTACACTTCCCCTCTTTCCACAAAAGCAGCTGGATGCTGTTTCTCCTTTCTAAGAAATCAGTGTGCACTTGGGACATGTGGAACTCTTACAGTCCAGCAGAAAACGTCATACCTGTCTCATACCATCAAAACTGGGCTGACTCTACTCCTGAAGACCGCTGCTTCTTTTCTGTTTTCAAACTGGGGTTTCATTTTTAGTGGAAGACTCTTGTATTGCAATGGTCTCTGAACTTCTTGTACATCTCCAGTGGCCTTCATTTTGAAAAGGTTGTATTTTGTCAAGATTTCCTTTTTTTTGCCTTGATAGTTTTTTTGCTTCCCAACCCATTAATATTGAACAGATCAAGAGTTAAAACACTTAATCCTTTGTTCTTCTCTTTTCTGTTTTTTCTAATGGATGAGTCATAGTACGGATGGCCTTTTGTTATTCTTTAGTAAATTCAAACAAGATTATTTATTCCCTCATTAGAAAAACAATAAATCAGCAAACGGAAAAATGTGAAACAATGACTTTAAAAGATATTTGCCATATTTTAAAGTTATTGGTTTGGTTTTGGGTTTGTTTTTTTTATTTTTAATTTAATTTTTTAAAAATTTAATTTAAAAGGGATGACCAAAAAAGAGTCCTCCCAAAATCTTCTGGATTGCTATTGCTGAAACCTGGAACCTTTTGATGTTGAGGTACCATAGGAACCAACAGCTGAAGTACAATAAACCCAGGCACTTCTGGGACCCACAAGTGCTGTCTGGAGCAATGGTGATTTGAGCAGAGCCAACAAGAGGGAGTGATTTGCAAGATGGGCCTCCACTTTCTACACCATCCCCGAGGTCGAAAGGATATCCTCCTTTTTATGATAATTCATTCTTGGACTGTTGTTCTGATGAATTTAACACGTTTATGTTACTTAGAGATATATCAAAATACTACTTCTTTTGTGATTGTATAAAATCAAGCATACACACAAATCCAGAACCAAGTTTACTCTTAAATTTATAAATATTTTCTGCCATCCTATATTACCTTGATGTCCAACAACCACAAGCTACAGAGCACAAAAGCCTTTATGAGAGACTCTCCTGACAGAAAATATTGTAGCTGTTTCATCAAATACTTCCTGAGGTGCATAGGACCGTGCTATTTCTTTAAGCGCAGATCTGCGGTTTTTCCAGTTGCCAAGTGGAAATCTGGATTAGAGACTAGAAGAAAGGATTCCTTTCAAAATAATTTTGACACCTCAGTGAAAAGGAGGAGCATCCTCACAAAGGCATGGAGCCAAAGTTCTGCATTAATGGATTCCATCCCTGGAGACAGATGAAGGTGCGTGCTCAGTACAGAGAAACCCCGCCCTGGCCATGGATGTCAAATTCCCCAGCACTCAGTACAACCAGAGGTCATTAAACTGCTTTGGCTTCTGTCCCTCCTGCTGGGAAGAGAAAATGCTGTGGGTGCTGTCTCCGCTTCACCCCTATGCAGTCATAATGTTGGCTCTGCCTTAAGAGCCTTCACAGCTGTGCTGTAACACAGCTCCCAACATGACTCAGATGAAGGATTTTATTTAATCTTCACAGAACTTTGGAAAAAAAGGAGACTTTTAGTTTGTGGAAATCTTGAGAATGTGCAAAGCCAAAAAAAAAGAGGACATGAGAACAAGAGGCTGGGTCTCAAAACTTGATTTCCCATTGTCTTAGGATAAAATTTCAGTGAAAATGGAAAGATGAGAGAAGAATGAAACCATTTCATTGCTTTGGCTGCCTTCATTCCTGTAATAGTCCATTAGGGCATCAGTCATGATTTGCATTGCTTCTATTTCACAAACAGGAAAGGTTGAGGAGTATGTGGCTGTGTTTTGGGGTTTTCTTTGTTTAGTGGCTCTAGACAGTTTTTCTTATAGGTTCTTTCCCCCACTGTGCTTTCTGTCACTATTTGCACTATTCACAGTGCTTTATTTGTGTGAAACTGTACACTCCTTTTAAAATTTGGAGATTCTTTACTATCATTAAAATCCGCATAGAACAAAAAAAAAAAAAACCTATCTGGTTGCTGGCATAGGAGTAACTGCAATGGTAAAATTTGAAGATTCTCAGTTCAGATAAAGGTCTCAGAAACAAGGAATATTTGCCAACTGATTCTACAGGCCAGAACTTTAGGAACTTTTAAAGCAACACTTATATAATTTACTTACATAAGGACAGAATATTTGGCAGGGTGGACAAGAGGTCACTTGATAAATATGTAAAAGTAAATCTCTCATTTGTCTTTCTTAGGCAGAATGTCACTAACCACAATACTCAAACAGGCACAAGGAATCCCAGATTGCATGAATATTCCAGCATGTGCTGGAGAGGTAGCCAGCAGTTTCAATCTACATATCTTATATGGTATCTACCATAGAGCACAAATACATTCAATAACTTTTACAAGCAATTGTTTCAGGTTCCTCCATCAAAAGTGCACCAATTTTGATATGAGTACCTTTTCCAGTTTAGTCCAGATGCCTTGACATTGCATCTCTAGGAAGATGAGTTCCAAAGAAGAGCTGCCTATTAAATAATCCAAAATTTCCTGCAAGACTCAAGAATCTGTTTTTTAGGGGGGGCTGTTTCTGTGCAGAGGATGTGCAAAGGAAGATTTTGAACACAAAGTTCTGCTGTTTCTGTGCAGAGGACGTTCAAGGAATGTTGCTGTGCCACAGCCTCCTCAGGCCATGTAAGTAAAATGGTGATTGCCACTCAAAAGGAATTGACTTGTGACAGTGAGTGGCAATTGCTAGAGAGTTTTACACTAGAGTTATGAAATCAATTCTACAACCACTATTATGTGAAGGTAACACTGATGAAGAATTTTTATGTAGCTGAGCATTGATGTGCATTGCTCCTTGAACCACAGAAAATACACTGCAAAAACCAAGGAAGGGCTATTGTTTTTGTGGGATGTAATCATCAAAGATATGGTTTATGCTTCTATACAGAAACCCAAAGATTCATTTCTGTACAAATTCAAGCACACATGTTGATACTCCAAGGCCCATGGCAAATAGTAGGTGTTAGGGATAAATTTGTGTTCATAATCTAGTTATAGAATAGCATAATATTTAAGGTGAACAATCCAAAAAAGTTAGAATTTAAATTTTGTTTAGACAAGTTTTGTAGTGTAAAAACTGAGGTCAAGCA